CAGCCAGCTCACAAATATTAAATTTCTGCTCTAAGATGCGGAATTAATGGTCTCAATTATAATAAATCCCAACAACTGCACCAACAAAATTTAGTTTCCTAGTAAGCAAAAACGACAAATTGTTGAAGCCCACATGCATAAAAAATCCAATGTTGGATGGGATTGTTCAGAAGAAAAACAATTTCTTTTTGCTAAGAAATTATAATAATGAATTGGAAAAGATAGCTTTGATATAACTGGACCAGAAGCTGTACAAATAATGGAGAATCTTACAGATTTATCAGATAATTTTATACTAATCAGGCAGTCAAAGCTTCACCCTTGAAACCATTTTTGTCCTCATCAAGAGACCTACACACTAAAGATTTTCGTTACACTGATTACAACAAAAGTCAAAGCTCGTTCTCAATAAATTTGGGTCGACCACATAAACGTATTGGGCACAAATGGCTAATCGTCAATTATTACATCCCACGAGAATGAATAGAGAAGACGAATCTTGAAACGTACTAGTCAGGATTGGCTGTCATGAAGTGTAACTCATAAGACAGTATTGTGCATTCATATATTTCTTTATTTCCAAAGAAGCAGTAGTCACAAGGCTGTTCCAAATGAACACTGGCAAAATGTAGTTATCCTTGTCCTTAAAGAAATCATCAAAAGTTACAGAGTATGGTCCAATCTATTCATTGATTCTGAATAGGTTACCTGCATATATCCAACAGGATTATCACGCGGTAAAAAAGCAAAACGAGCCAAAACCAATGAAGTAATAATATCAATTGTTCTGTCAAGACATTGTCCCATAGAGAAATCCCTCCCTAACCCCAAACTTCCTGTACCAGTTTCGTGTTGGGGATTAGGCTTTAATAACATTTTAAGAGAGCCATGATTCACAAGGAAATCGAAAATAACTAAAGCAAACATGCAAATGTATAGCGGTTTGCCTCAATGTTGGATCTACTTCCACAAGCCACTACAGATTTTCATGGAACAATCTTTGCCAACTGGTTTCTTCCGTTAATCGCTTGCTGAAACTACATTTAGGCGCTCCTTTCAACCAACTCTTAGAAAGCATTACTAACATTTTCACACATTATGTCTAGTCTTTTTATTGATAAAAAGAGTTGATTGAGAAAGTGATCCTTAGCTGCAATCTACCGCAAAGGAAACAGAAGGCACATTGTAAAAAAGCATTGCCTTGTGTTACTTTGCGAAGGTTACTGTTAGATTTTATACGCAATAATAGAGAAGTGGAAGAGAGAAATTAATACAAGAATTTAACATGATCCAATAATGTGCCTACATTCATAAAGAGTGAAGCGAAAATATTTTATTCGGTATGAATAATAAGGTTGCATCTTTAGTATATATTTATTAACCATAGCCCAGCCCATACAAGACTTTAAGGCTCGTACAAGAAAATATCCATGTGTTGTACCATGCTTCTCACAGAATTTCGAAAAATGTGAATCTGTGCACTCCGTACCTTGTTTGTCCTCAGGTACTTAATTTTTCTACCCTTCGTAGTTTTGTACCTCTGCTTTCCACAATGTAAACTTAGCAAAGACTTCAGACTTGTGTTTCATGAAGTACATTTAGACTTTTCTAGAGAAGTCATCAATGAAAGTAATGAAATGTTGAGATCTACATTTAGACAACTCCCTCACTGATCAAGATCAAGACTAACAATGACAATGTGAATTCGGAAATGCTTGTCCATTCTTCTCCAGTTCTTGTTAAAAAAAACTTTCCCCGTTCAAAAAATTTTATATGTTCCAATAGAATTTGAACTATTATCAAGGTAGTGCCAGCCACTCGTGCAACTTGGTTACCTATAAAAAGAGGTTGGGACTATCTTTCTCGTTTGATCTTCTGCACGATAGCAAGTAAATGTGGAAAAAAGAAATATATAAGGGAAAAGGATAGAGTGCACTAGTAAAAATTTCGGTAAAAAGCACAACATCATACTTGACGCCTTTTGGGAGGTATTAAGGGCTTGTTTGAGCCCCCAATTTTATTTTATTTTTCAAAAAAATGCATTTTGTAAGTGTTATAATGGAGAATGTGTGATTAAAAAATAAGATTTTTTTTGGATTTGTGTGTAATATTATTTTATTGAAAAAAGTGGGGTTGAAATGATGTCAAATCACTGTTCAAAAATACATTTTGATAGAAAAAACACTACAACAAAATACCGAAATTACGACAAAAAAATGTTGTCTCAAAAATGGAGATTTTATTGAAAAAACTAATTTTGCGAAGACAATATGTTTGTTGCAGGCGTCACACTATGTGAGTCATGGAATCCATTCAACAACAACTTTCAATCATTCGTCGCACTATATGATTCATGGAATCCATTCGCAATAACAAACTCAAAACGCTATTTGTTTGATGCAGAAAGTAAAATAGCAATAAGATATTTGTCGTCCTAATGTCATCGCAAAACATATATGTCCCGAAAAATCAAGAAGGCGACAAGTCAGTTTGTCGCAACGATTTTTCCAAAAAAGTTTTGGCAAAAATATTTGTTGATGCGAATATTATGTTAAATACATAACTTTTGTTACCTATTTTATTTTGCAACAACATGTGCTCGTAGTGATATATCTTTAATAATAAATCATGTCGCGAAATATGATTTACAATGCGTTAGATATGTTGCATAATATATTTTAAGATATTCAACATTTAAAATTTATTATTTAACCAGTAATGTTTCTAATTAAATTTATGTCGCAATACAAAGAGTTTGTCGCGTCATTATTTGTTCAACGATATATCGTTATTGCCTAATTTATTTCTTGATTATTTATATTTATCACATATTTTATTTTACAACATATAAAATTATGGCGCAAAGTATTTTGTGACAATAAACATTTATTATCGCTTCAACGATGTACAATTATCGCCATCACATATTTTATTTTACAACATATAAAATTATTGTGCAAATTATTTATGACAATGGATATTTAGTTATGTGACTAGCTGTGCTGGTGGATAAATTTATTTCACAACACAATTAAAGAGTTTGTCACTTCAACGGTATACAATTATTGCCTAATTTATTTTATTTTTATTTATGTATGTCGTGGATTCTATTCTAAACATATAATTTTCAATTTTTTGCTTCACAATTGAAGTGTAACTACGGTACCCAACATCATTAAAAATAACTCATGACCTTATAAAAGAATGCTTCAAACATTAACAATAGAAGCTACTGATTCTTAGATATGATGTACTAGTTGGCAAAATTTTGAAACAAACCTCTTTGGACAGCCAAAGAAATAGCAAGCCTCTCGTGTTAAAACTTCGTCACGAATGTTCAATCTCCCAGCAAGCCATAAGGCTTTCATTGCATGAACACGGCCATACCGCAGTAGTTGCTCTTGCAATGAAAATAGAACCAAGACATAATGCGTCAACGTAAGAAAAACAAAATACAATTAAACAGAAAATTGCAAAATGAATTATAATTTTAATGAAAACAAGAGCTTGAGATATAATCATTTTTGCTACAGGTTGATTGTAATTTTAGAATATA